GGGGGGGGACAAGACCCTCCTGGCTACGCGCTTGTCTGTTTGGCTGGCAGTAGTTTTTCATTCTGTCTGTATGCCTAGCTGATTGTTCAACTAAAGTCATTTAATTTCAGATTAAAACGATTTTTTTAAAAATTTTTTTAATAACCTCCACTGAAAAGATTTCTACCTGCTCAGACCCTTACCCTCAAAAGTGTCACGCAATAAGTGAACAACTCAGTGAAAAAAAAAAAATAATCAAAAAATGTTGCTGAATGATAAAAATCGATTATTTTGGCTTTTGGGATGTATACATTAATATGAAATATTTTTTGAAATATTATTGGCCATCAATCACAGATGAGAGAAAGAAGTAGGAGTGCAGGATATCATTTGATGTCGCTGTGATAACGCATTAATGCTAGATTTTTGGATTTGTTTGAAAAATTTGAGGAAAGGGAATCATTTATGAATATTTAAAGAGTAAAGGCTGTATTATTGACAAATTTTATACAATTGAAGGATTTGAACTTCTCGAATTTGTGAAAACAAACAAAGAATTTTTGATCCGCAAATTGAGAATCAAGCAAATTAGGCATTTTAACCAATCATCTCTAGATTTGTAATAATTGAGGATTGTAGACCAGTGGTGGGCAACCTTTTTTGTTTCACGGCACATCTTGTAGGTGGACCATAACCGAAACCACACGTGGCACATGGTTCATGGGATTTCTTGAACTTTTTTTGCGGCACAGAGTTTGAAGCCCTTTGTATTACTGGCTACTACCTGGAATGCATCATATGCACTTCTGATGTGTTCTGAACCCATTTTATCAAGATTATTTTCATTTTTACTAATGTAGGCACTTCATGCTCCTCTAAGAATGACACAATGATGTACTATTGACTATGGAGGTTAAATTTAAGAAAAGCTTCCTTCAAAATATCAATTTTAACTCAAATCTCCGCTGATTACGCTCCTGACCCTAGTTCATAACCTTGGCTATAGAATATAACGAAAAACTTGTTACTAGAATTTAAAAATGGGTTCACAAACATCATTTAATGACTGCAAAAACTACCAAAACAATTTATTTTGTGAATTCACACTAAAAAATACTATAAAAAAAAACTTTTTTTTAAAAAAGCACGCTTTTATTTCCGATTACAGTGCACTAAAAAGGAGAAAATAATTTTTTTCTAAGCACTCAAATATGATACAAAATTTTATGACTAAAAATAAAAGCGTGGGGCGTTCAATTTAAACCTGCTCTAGATTTTCTATAATTTATTCACACTATATTGTAATTGCCCCACGCTTTTATGTTTAGTCATAAAATTTTGTATCATATTTGAGTGCTTAGAAAAAAATTATTTTCTCCTTTTTAGTGCACTGTAATCGGAAATAAAAGCGTGCTTTTTTAAAAAAAAGTTTTTTTTTATAGTATTTTATTTTCTACTTTTTAGTCGTGTTAAATGTATGAATCGATATTACTTCCAAAATTTGGAGTTTTTCTTTTATTTCAACACTGAATTTATCAGACTTAATGAGTAGGTTACAGTTTTTAGATTACAGGAAGTTTTAGAATCCACTTCCTTTCACTTCAATCCGTTCAACTGTTCATAGATTACCATTTTTTAATGGATAATTAGTAAAGAATGTCAAAATTCTTCATTCGTTTTAAATTATTTAAGTCATACCTGAAAACACATAAAACTCTTTTAAAAATGTCCTTACTTCAATTAAAGATTTTGTGTTTATCCGGACCATTCCTACTACATAACGTGTGGATTCTTTACATAAAGATGCAAATCACATCTATATGTAACGTATTTATAACGGATTTTCAAATTTAAATTCAATGAATATCATTTATATGTTATGCAAAAATACGTCATGCCGTTAAAAGAGAAGTCAATTTAATTAAATTGGTGAAGTGTTATAAATAATGTAATATATTTAAAACAGCATAAATTTATGCTCAAACTATGTGTGCTAAATGCACATCTCATATTAATAGTTATTTTGCATTAATCCGAAACGGACTTATGCTTAACGGTTTTTTTGAAAATTCAAATTTTCACTTACGAATATTCATGAAAAAATCACTTGTCAATTTTTTCATCCTCCCAGAAAATCTTTAGCTGCTCAAAATTATAGTATAATTTATAATTAGTAATATTAATTAAACTATAATGAATCTTATAAATGACTGTTGAGTATTTCAAGTGTAATATTTTAAACAAATCAAAATTTTATATCATTGACATTGGATTTTTTTCCCATATAAAATTTTTTTACTAAAATTGTATTATAATTAAGCATTTTTGTGTTTCCAAAGTGTTAAAATATTGTATTGTCATGGAGAATACGTGTGCATTTAAAATTTGAGCTCTATTGGAGCAGTGAAAGTGGTCGTAAAATCGATTACAAGATTTGACTCAGACAAACAGTGTGAGTTAAATAAAAGCGTGTAATAATAAAATGAAAAATAAAACTGCAGTTTATAGATTGTCAAAAAAATTTCATTATATTCAAACAGCCAAAATTAAAACTACTAAATCACTCCGCACCAAGCAACAAAATTCATTTTTAAAAGCAGCACACAAAACATATATTTGAATACAAAACTGCCCCGTGTTTGGGTGGCATGGCAGAGAAAGAATGAAGAATTATTGAGCAGGGACTGAAGTGCTTATAAAATACAAGGCTTATAAAAAATAAATAAAAGATATAAAATATGCATAAGCATAAATATAAACACAGGCCTCTGAAATATTAACGTGAGCATAAAATTGAGAAGAAAAAAAGTTTCAAACAATTTCGATTAAAGTTTGAAAGAAAAATTATTGTATTGAGGCTTTAGAGTGGAGCGTTTGTGGCTTTTTTGAAAGAAAATTTATAGTTTTTTATATTTGGTGGAGGAAGTGAGTTATTGTTGTGAAATAAAGTGGATTGATATCATACAGTCGGTTCTGAGTTTTATTAGAGATGGTCTTTTGGGGATCGTAGATAAATTTTGTTACTAAAAGTTGAAATTTAGGACCCCTCTACTTGAAAATTATTTTCTAGGAAAAGGTAAGGCAACTCTAATTTGGTATAACTTATGTATTTTTTGCATGTCACAAGCAGAGATCTGGCTGTTATATCTGTGAGCAAATTTGACAGATCTGTTCCTGTGACAGGCGAAAAAAAATATTGCCTGCCACAGCAATTGCCTGTTAACTGATAATATCTAAGACAAATCTGTCACATGTGTCTGTGACAGGCGACCTGTATCGGAACTCTGAAATTAAGAACTAGGGATCGTTCACTTATGACGTCCGAGATTTAGGGGGATCTAGGATTTTGTGACACTTCAATATAAATTTTGAAAGAGTTTTAAAAAAGTCATGATTTTGACAAACGTCATTAGTGAATGACCCCCTTTGGAATCGTAAGAAATTCAATTGGTTTAGACATCTTGGGTTATTAGACACCTCCCTCCAATGTCAAACAGAAATTTTTGAGTTCTTATTAGGAGCAGTTCACTTATGACGTTTGCGGGTCAGGGTGGGGGGGGGGAGGGGGGGGGGGGGGGTGGAATAAACAAGAAAAGAACCATAGAAATTTATTTAAATTTTATTGCTCTATTTTGAAAAATGACCGTTAATTTTGAACGACCCCTTATTCGAACTTCGAATTTTCGAGGTTCTTATTTTTCGAATTTCGAATCTTCGAAGTTCATATTTTCATAAAAAGTTTGTTATAGGTTCTATTTGGTGTGTAACAGACTCTGTTCTCTTTACTAACATTGTCCCTCCTTGTTACGTAATAAGGAGACGGCCCCTTATTATGCTGAAGATTGATGATACGGCAGTGGTTCTCAAACTGTTGAAAAACAAAAAACAAGGGGTCTATTAACCCTTATATCGTGTACATCATTTATAAACGATCACATCCACACAGTTTCTGAACTCTCAATCTTTCGACATCATAAAATAGCTATCCCAATCTCATTCTACATTGACCACATCCTTGCAAGCATTCAAACTCTCAATTCAACCCTTAAAATCGAACAAACTTCCACCAGTCAATATTTCATTTGCTTTTAAAGTTCACAAATCTCGGTATCTTTTGACACTTTGATAACAAACATTTTTAAGTTTCTGCTCTTACAACAAAAAAGAAACTTTCAAAAGTCCCGATTGTAAAAGTCTGTTTCAAATGCAACCCTCGACTCTTAATCCCAATAGTCAAGACCATCAGATGAGGGTTGTCATCATGTCGCCAAGGAATTTTTATTTCACGATCAAAATACTTTTGTGGGAAAGGAACAAGAAACCGCCAGAATGAATAGAGACATCAATTCGACTTGATAAATGATGGTTGAAGCAAGCAAAAATAAAATTCTAAAGAAATTCCACAAAAAAAAAAAAGAAATTGGCAACTGCAGCAGCAAATGTCTCATAAAAATTGATTTTCCTTTCCTTATTTACATGACTTTATATGATGTATCGACGGCGTCTAAAACATACAAAAAAAAAAAAAAAATAGAAATTATGCCACATGCTATAAAATCTAGCTCGCATGTCTGTTATTGTAATCATTTTCAATATCGCACATACAAAAAAAGAGATGTAGATCCATTCTCGAGGGGAAACGATAAGTGATGCATGAACGATATACAACAATTGTGAATTATTTCCACCCAATTCAGTCTCATACCATTGACAATCGGATATAGGCGAACAAAAAGAGATATCAAAAAGGTGCGAAACACAACAAGATGCAAAAAAGTTTGAATTTTGTTTCAATTTAACTGTCAATTTTGATGTTTCATGCTAACTTGACTCCACGGTGCCGTTGGTGAACATGATTTTTTATATAAGCTTTTTGTGGGGTTGAAGCAGTTTGTATGAGTTTATGGAAAATGTTAAAGAACTTCAGGATTAAATCCTGTAAGGACACACTATGTGGTGACACATTTATTGGTGATTCACTTAGTAATGACACACTTATTAGCTACAAACTTACTATTGACATGTTAATCAATGATACAGCAATCGTGGACACATTTATCAATGACACATTCGTCAGTGACACATTTATCAATGACACATCTAATAGGAACTCATTTATCAGTGACACATTTAGTAGCGACTCTTTCACCAATGACAAATTTATCAATGACACAATTATTGGTGACACACTTATTAGCTTTAAACTTACTATTGACATGTTAATCAATGATACAGCTATCGTGGACACATTTACCAATGACACATTTGTCGGGGACACATTTATCAATGACACATCTAATAGGAACTCATTTATCAGTGACACATTTAGTGGCGACTCTTTCACCAATGACACATTTATCAATGACACAATTAGTAATGACACACTTATGAGCTACAAACTTAGCATTGACAAGTTTATCAATGACACATTTACTATGTCTCATTTATCAGTGACACATTTAGTAGCGACTCTTTCACCAATGACAAATTTATCAATGACACATTTATCAATGACACAATTAGTAATGACACACTTATGAGCTACAAACTTAGCATTGACAAGTTTATCAATGACACATTTACTATGTCTCATTTATCAGTGACACATTTAGTAGCGACTCTTTCACCAATGACAAATTTATCAATGACACATTTATCAACGACACAATTAGTAATGACAAACTTATGAGCTACAAACTTAGCATTGACAAGTTTATCAATGACACATTTACTATGTCTCATTTATCAGTGACACATTTAGTAGCGACTCTTTCACCAATGACACATTTATCAATGACACAATTAGTAATGATACACTTATTAGCTACAAACTTAGTATTGCCAAGTTTATCAATGCTACATTTATCAACGACACAATTAGTAGTGGTACACTCATTAGCTACACACTTATATAGCGACACATTAATTAATGACTATTCAGTAGTGACACATTTATCAACGACACACTTATCAATGATACATTTAGTAGAAACAAATTTAGTGGTGACACATTTAGTGATTACACCTTTAAGTGTAAAGTACTTAATTATTTAATATCTCTGCTAAAATATACTATTTAGTCAAAATCCACTGTGCGCCATAAAATGAATATCACTTAAATGCATTAAATTCCCTAAACTTCCATTTATGTTGCATACAAAAGTACTTTGCAATTTAACCATTTTTCGTTTATTTGATTGTAGATGTGTGGCAAGTTTCACGGACATTTTTGTCAGTTGATTTTATTTGTAAAAATATTGGAAATATTTAATTGGAGGAAACAAGTGATGAGTTTTTTTTTGCAAAAAACCTTTTTCATTATTCAGTGCCACTACAAATAAATTTGTTCAATTATTCGCATTCGTTGTCGAAAATGTTTATACATAAATCAAAAAAATAAAATAAATTTGAATATTACAAAAAGCAGCGGAAGTTGAAAATGTGATAAGAGGAGGAAGGCATAAGTGATATGGGACAGGAAATTTATTATTTTGTTCACAAAAATTTTTATGTGATAAATGAAGTGCATGCATTTGATGATTATGAATTTACAGAGTATCGATTTTCATCAGAATGAGAAGCTTATTGGGCATTTTAGGTAGGGATTGTTTATTAATCATGTCCATTTTAGAGAAATTGTGGTTATGCTATTATAAACTTATGAAAAGTGAACGGTTTTATTTAAAAATAACGGTTACGAAAATTTTGAAAAATAACTGCAATTTTTTTTTGAAATTATCGTTTAAAAATGATTTGAAATATAAGGTCAAAAAATATTTGAAAAATAACTGCCGAAAAAAAATTGAAATTAACGTTTGAATATAATTCGAAAAATAACGGTCACAAAAAAACACTTTTGACAAGGAGTAAGGAGGGTCCAAAAAATCCCATTCATCAATAGACATCATTCACAACCAACCCCCTTCTACTAATTGAGTTAATTTATATAACATAAAATTTTATGCTCAAATGAACTGAGCTAATATTTTATGACCATCTAATAAGATTCCTCTTCTTATTACTACTAGGACGATGATGCTGATGATGATTGAAAAGCATAAAATGAACAAAAAAAGTAGCTTTTTGAAAATTTTATGAATATTTCTATTCATTTTATAGACACACAAAAGGCATGTTTAGGTTGAATCTATAAATTTTTTTAGTGCTATGGAATTTGATATGTTTGCATGAGTTTATGTAAGCAGAACAATTTTGAATTCTTTTTAATACACTCATAGAAAAAAAGTAACCATAATATTTGTTATATGTTTGTTAAACTAGTTTAACAAATTATTGGTTAAGTTTACATGGGTAAAAAAAATTTCAACCAAACTATTTGTTAAAAATTTTACAATTGAGTTTGTTAAATCAACAAATTTATTTGTTAATAATTGATTTAATTAAATTTTAATTTTTGTATTCAAAACTCTTGTTTGATTAATTTCAAACGATTCCCATTAATTTATTGCGTTATTTTTAATGAGAAAACTGCTTTAAATTGAATTTTGTTTATTTTGTTTAACAAATTAATTTGTTAATTTTAACAAAACATTTGTTACAATGTTTTTATTTGTAATTTGTTTTGGAAAATAATGATTTACAAACCAAATCGTAATTTAAAAATTAAATTTGTTCATTTTTTTAAGTCCTACATTTCTATTTTATTATTCATAAATTAATTTTAAAATTTGGATATATTTTTTAAAGAATTATTTATATTGGTTCTGAATCAAATTTTATAAGTAAAAGTTTACAAGCAGCGGACTAGCGGATCATCAACAGGAATTCAGAAGTTAAGCAACCACGGAAACATTTTAAAATAAGATGGGTGACCAAATTAACAATTTTCTGGTTAATATTAACCGAAAATTTGTTATTTTTTTCTGTAAAAAAAAATTTTAACAAAAAGTTTGTTAAATTAACAATTTTTATAGTTAACAATTCAACCTTACAAATAATTTGGTTAAATTTAACAAATAAGTTCGTAAACACTATTTTAACGAATTGTTTGTTAACATTTTCCATACAAGTTACAAACATTTTGTTACTTTTTTTCTATGAGTGTAGAGAAAAAGAAAATTATTGAAGTGAAAAATTTTATGGAATAATTTTTTTATGAATAATTTAAAGGTTTTTGAATATTTAAGAAAAAATTAACTAGGACTGATTATTTTATGACTTTAGCTATGTGCTTAACTGATGCCCAAAGGCAAAGGGTCTCCAATAAGCATCTTAAAGCCCAATGTTAGCAAAGAGAACAGAGACCGTTACAAACAAAAAAAATTCAAAATTTTCGCGCGGTATTTTTTTAAAATTTCAAAATAAGAAAGTCTGTTACTTTTTATTTTTTTTTAAACTAGCTGTTTTTTAAAGCATTAACATTTAAGGAATGCAATTTCATCACAGTGATTATCTTAATCATAAAAACTAGTAGGAATGTTCACTAAAATTACAAATTACTCGAAAAATAATAATTCACAACGAATTTTTTTAAAAACAAGAACTTCGAAGATTCGATTTTCGAAAAATAAGGACCTCGAAAATTCGAAGTTCGAATAATAAGAACTCAAAAATTTCTGTTTGCTAGCATTGGCTTAAAGCTTTAACGCTTATTTCTATCTTGAAGTATGTATTCATAAACTCAGATTTAAATGTTGCAGCTCTGTATTACGATCCTTAGCATCTTAACTTCGATAATTATTGTTTCGTACTGCGTATTTAATAATATCTTAATTACTTTCTCATTTAACTAATTGCCTTAATCTGATTAGCTTGTAAATGATGATTTTTTTGTTAATTTAATTAGTTGTTAATCAGATTTTTGAATCATTAAGGTTAATTGGTATTTTGATGGTCGTTTGCAGGCGGAATAAAAGCTTTTTTAATTTCTATCAATCTTTAAAATATGTTTTAACAAAAATTTGTATTTTTTAAGGCACAAAGCCCCTAAATTGCAACCAATAATATTTAAAAAAATTTAAATTCATTCCATGAAATTTAAAAGCCTTACAAAATCTCAATCTGCAGCAAATATATAAGCAAATCCCCAAATGATGAGTACTCTTCAATCTCATATTTTCATGACATGATTTCTCATAGGAACTGAACCTTTAAATGTCTTTAAATACCATCCATGACAACAAAGTCCTTCCATACTCGAGAGCTTTAAGAACAAAATCTCTAATTTATTAAATTCATTCATAGAAATGATCTTCTTCCATTCGTGACAAAAATAGCAATGCCAGCCCCTTAAAAAATCTTTATCTACACTCAACGTCCTTCATATAATCTCAAAATTATGCCAATTTTTATTTCATTCAACTTTAAGTAGCATTAACAGGCAGTGAAGAATGAACATGAAAATGAGGGGACAGAGAAAAAAAGTCTCATCGCTAATAAAAGCTCATTTCGATGAAATCCTTCTTTAGAGCAAGACATTACAAGTGTTTGACAGTCTTGTGGGCTTGACCGAAAGAAAAATTGAGTGATGCTCGTGAAGTCATCAAGCACAGAAGTTTAAGTTCAAATAAAAAGGAATGAAGAAGATAAAATTATTGTGGGCAAATTTGCTTGGAGCATTAAGGAAAGTTTGTAGTATGATGAACTTTTAATGAGTGTTATTAGTTCTTATTATTGTCTAGAGATGATAACTTTTGTGGCTTTTAAAAGCTTTATTGTGTTGTTATTCAAAAATTTCAAGGTTAGTAAGCAGAAATAAATTAAGTCATAAAAACTCAGTTTTACAACAAAAAACTCAGGATTAATCAAAAAGCCCAGGATTAGTCAAAAAGCTCAAAATTATTAAAAAAAACTCAGGATTAGGCAAAAAGCTCATAATTAATCAAAAAGCCCAGGATTAGGCAAAAAGCTCAGAATTATTCAAAAAGTCAGGATTATTCAAAAAGCTCAGGTAAGTCATAAAATACAAGTTAAGCAAAAAAGCTGAAATTTAGTCAAATATTACAAGTTTCTTCAAAAAGTTCAAGTTCAGTCAAAAAGCTCAACTGAAGTCAAAAAGCTCAACTGTAGTCAAATAGCTCAAGTTTAGTCAAAAACCTAAAGTTTAGTCAAAAAGCTAAAGTTAAGTCAAAAAGCTCAAGATTAGTCAAAAACCTCAGGTTTAGTCAAAAAGCTAAAGTCTATCCAAAAAGCTCAAGTTCAGTCAAAAAACTCAGGTTCATTCAAAAAGCTAAAGTTAAGTCAAAAACCTCAAGTTGAGTCAAAAAGCTCAAGTTTAGTCAAAAGCTAAAGTGTGGTCTCAAAAAGTTCAATTTTCATGCAATACATTTGATTTTCTTTTATGAACTAATGACACTTCTACAAAATTCTCCTCCCCCCCTCTGATTCACCAAAAAATCATCCATACCTTTGTATAGTGCTTCCATTTTAAGACTTTTCGACATCAATCACAAAAAAAAATCATAAAAGAATATCCAACTTTCCATCAATCATCGACAGCAGTGGCAAGATGGAAGAATATTTAATTTGTGATATTTAATGAAGTTATGGAAGTACAGTAATTTATTCAACTTGACTAGAT